AGTCCAACCTATCATTTCTCCCTCTTCCCTTTTGATCCGCAGCGGGCAATTGATCTTTCTTCCTTGGAGATATCTGACTGCTAGCGGTTGACTTGCTGAGTTATAGTCTTCTTCCCATTCTTTTCTTAATTTCTTTCAGATTACGACGGCTGGATAGTAAATTTCCCTTTTAGATTTAATGGTTGTATTTCTTCTTCGTTATTTTGGTAGTTGTTTTGGTTCTCTGTTATCCTGTATACTTTGATGTAAACATGTAACATATAATTCAAAGGGTTTGTTGCTTGGACTTGGAGCATCTCTCCTTTGGTTGAATAATTGATCATTTTCCTTGGAGGCCTATTGCAACTCGATTCATTGGATTTAAAATGGAAAATAGAGTTGTGAGAGTTGTTCATTATGTTTATTATGTTCATGAGTGACATGTTACTAGCTAGCTATATGACGATGATCTGATCAAGTAAATAGTATGTAGCAGGGGGTTAAACGAAGAAGCGGAAGATTGATGATGTGGATGCCAATGTGGTTTCTCATTCTTCCAAAATTACACGAGTAACTGATATTGCACGATATTTGTGGGATCTAGATCGCGATATTCTCTATTATCATATACCAACGTACAAGAAGGGTGAGAAAAAGAAAGCTCTTCACTTTTTTTTATTAATTGAAATATTTTTGCAAATTTTAACTTCTTCTATTGTGTCCTTCAAAATTTTAACTTCTGTCACTTTGTGTTCTAAAAAATTAATAATCTCTTAGTTTATATCATAAATGGTGGATTCGATACATAATTATAAATCAATAAAGAAAGTACTAGAGAGAGCTCATCTAATAAAATTAAATTTTCATAAATAAATGAAATATATAAAAATGTGAAATAATATATGAAATTTGGTAAGTGAGATTAACAATTCAATGTATAATAGTTTAACATAATGAATCATAAATAAAATTATAATACTAGGACGAAAAATATAATAACCAATCAAAATTTGCCTCCCAATGGGGGTATAAAGCTAGTTCATAAATATGGGTGATAATCGTATTTCTCTTATTGGTGTAACTTTCTCCTCTTCTTTATGACCTAAGTCATTTTGTGTTGGTTAGGTGTACGACTCTATGTAAATGCTTGCTAGGGATTGAATTGTAATAATTAGTGTGATTGATGGCTTAGATTTTCATTATCTATCTATGATCATAAAGAAGGTTACAAGAACATGTCATATTATTAATTGACACATACATATATGCATAAACATCAAGAATGGGTACTCAAACATTGAGGCTCGTTTAACAGTGTACAGCTGCCTTGCCCATACAAGATAATAACCGTGGTACAATTGACATGAAACCTATATCTACATGTCCAGGGGCGGAGCTACAGCAGGCCTCGGGGGGGCCCCGGCCCCCCGAGAATCTCGAAAGTAACGTATACGTGGTTTGGGATATTACGTATAACCTAAAAATATTAGTTAGATATAAAGACGTGGATGGTAATCAAATAATTTCAGTTAGTGTAGTGGAAGAAGGCTTCTATTATTATCCTTTGGTCTTGGGTTCGATCACAGATGTTAGCAAATTTATGTTTTACTAATGTTAAGCCGTGGTTACGGCTTTCCCCCTTTATTTTTCTACTTAATAGTAAGTCATTTCTTTTTTTCATGGTAAGCCTAAATAATTCCTTCACAACCTGTTTGGATACAATTCAAGAAGAAATGGAAATGGAATTCTATTTCCAATTCCTATTTTTATAGAATTCCATTTCCAATTTTAGTGTTTGGTATAATTCCTCCAACTAAAGAAATGAATTGCACTTTTAACAATAATTAATAATATAATATATTTATTTTATCTTGGGAAATGAAATATGAATGATAGAGAAAGAGAGTAGTGTGATAGTTGGTTAATAAAATAATAATAAATAGTGATGGGACCCACTAATTCCCTATTCATAAACACAATTCCTATCACTTTTGATAGGAATTGTAATTCCCAAAACTTAGCCCAAATGGAATTCATTTCTCAACCTTCTTATCCTTCCAAACATAAAATATGGAACTGGAATTGAAAATGGAATTCCAATTCCTGAGTTTTTTGTCTATCCAAACAGGCTGTCAGTTTACAATTACAACTATTCATTAAAGTCCCTTCCGCTTTTATGGTAAACAATTATTGGATAGTTAAGTATTTCATTTTAGTTATTAATTTACATCAATTAAGTAATTAATTTTAGTTTATTGAAGCACTTTATTTCAAAATAGACAATTAAGTCTTTCAATATTAAAAACACTTTGAGATACATGATGAATATTTGCAATTTTTATTTTCCTTTGAGATACATATATAATGAATAATTTTTTTCTAAGTACTAATATTGGTGGAAATTCATTTTGTAGTTATAGAAACCGAATGTGCCACACAATACTTCAATACATTATTTAATTTTTAAAATTTTCGATTTATAGTTTTCAATATGAAAACATTTTGTGTGATTATAAAATAAAATAAGCATTTTAAATTATTTTGATTATTAGTATTTTTTAACGTTTCGGTAACATATTAAAGAAATTCCGGCCCCCCGAATGTTAAATCCTGGCTCCGCCCCTGTACATGTCGAGAGAAAGCCTAGGATCCTCCACCTCAGCTTCCCTCTTGCTTTGATGTTCACGACCACCTTCCCGGTGTCGAGATCCAGCCTGAGCTGCCTGGCCCATACAAGATAATAACCTCCACGGGGTCGTAATCAACGCGGCTTCTTTTATCGGGGTTTTGGGAGAAGAAGGTTGATGGAGACAGAGTATTAAGGAACAATCGGTCATTATACCCTAGGGAAACTGATAAGCAAAAACTATTATGTTAAGCATGTCTTGAATTAGTGTTGTCCCGTTTTTATGCATGCATGCGAGAAGCTGGATTTTGGTCCTTCTCCAACGCAAGTATATTACATTTTCTTCACGTATGATCACTAATTACCTATCCACTCAAAATTAGTTAAGGATTTATGTGCGCTAATTCGTTTAGTTGCGGTTACCTATGTTATATAACATCTATATATAACAATATTAAATCATAACAATTGCCACTTGTAGCATGTGCCATATTGTTACTTAATCACACACATGTACATTATGTAAATTTAAATATGAATAGAAAATTCAAGAGTGTTCGGTTGTCTGGACCATACCAATATGATTGCCGCAATACAATTTATACGAAATCTATATCTACGTGTAGTGTAGGTATATGATCAAATAATCTTCCACCTCAGCGTCTCATTGCAAAATCACTTGTAACTCCTTTATACAAAATCTAGAATTTTGCGACCGGCTAATTATCAATTACTACTTGTCAAAATCTTTTTTTTTTCCAGGTCATTTTATGGCTCCCGTACTAAACACATATGAAATCTGTATAACAAATTTAATATTCATATTTAATGAACAAAAATGATAATTTAAATATTATTTAAATATTTATATATGTTTAAAATAATTAATCTTACATATTTTATTATTATTGATGTACTACTAGTACTAGTAGACGTATACATAACTTATTTTAGTAACTATTTGTTTTGAACATCAATTCAATTGAATCGAGTCTTATATGAACTCATAGCTATGCGCAATTGAGAATTATTATAAAAAGGAATTTGTATTAAGACAATTCAATTAACCATTTGAATGAAAGCAATCTACAATTTTAGTAGCATAATGATTATCATCTCAGTCATCCGACAACCTCTATAGCTAGGGATGACAATTTGAATTTGTTCCGTCGGGTATTATTTGATTTGATTCGTGATGGAGTGGGTATTACTCTTCGAAGTAGCATGGGGCATGGTATCTACTTTCGACCCGTCATGTCCCGCCTCACCCAATTCTCGTCCCATTTTTATCTCAATTTCTTACAATATCTATTCATATTTCTCCTATTTTGATTTTTCTTCAATTAGTTAGACTCGATATTTCAACTTGTTAAACTCAATTATCTATTCTATTATCACTATTTTTCATTCATAAAGTGTTTTCCCTTCGTTTTATCATAAAAAGTAAAATATTGTGTGTGTGTTTTATTAAATAACATGTAAGAGTGGGTCGACCCGCTAGTCTCGTACCCGCGCGGGTAATACCCACCTTAACTCGTTGTGGCGTGGGGCGGGGGCATGAGTATTGAGTTACCGCCCCACCCATTGCCATCACTTTTATAGCTAGGGTTGTTAATGAGTCAAACTATTCGGCTCGGTGTTTATTAACGAGTAGCTCTATTAGGTGGTTTGTTGAGTTCAACCAATGCACTGTCTCGTTTGTGCTTGTGAGATGTTTCAACATCGTGATTAGCGAGCCAACTCAACTACAATTTATGAGAAAATCCATCTATATCTTATAAATTGGTTTGTTAATGATGCATAAATTTATTAAATTATATATCTCACCTCATATGATGTTTAATACTTTTTCCACAAAAAAAAAAGTTTGGGTCGAGCTCAACTCTAAGATAATTTATAAATTAAATATCCTAATATTTATATGTGATACACGTGATTAACTAATCCCATGTCATATATGAAAAATATTTGCTCACATACTCAAAGTATTAAACATCATACGAGATGAGATATATAATTTAATAAATTTATGCATCATTAACAAACCAATTTATAAGATATAGATGGATTTTCTCATAAATTGTAGTTGAGTTGGCTCGCTAATCACGATGTTGAAACATCTCACAAGCACAAAACCTCGACCCAAACTTTTGATCATAATGATGAGCCAAGACTTAATAAATGAGTTGGTTCGTATTCAACTCAACTCAACTCGTCTATTAACGAGGCGAGCTCGAATTTGACTCGTTTGCAAATGAACCAAACCTGAACAAGATAAAACTCGACTCGACTCGACTCGACTCGACTCGACTCATTAACAGCTATACCTATGATCTATTAATCAAATTTAAGTGCAGTGTGAAACGGTGGCGTTTTTTCATTATCCCGTTCCAGTCCCCATTTGCCAATTCTAGGCTGTGCGAGAAAGTAGGGGACATGCTGCAGAGCTCACAGAGCACCGTAGCTGCGAATGCGGAAATGGCAACTCAAACTCAAACAAAGCAAGCAAGCTAGCTACTAGCAAGACCCAAGGATACTACAGGGCGCAAGAACTGAAGAGGAAGCGAATTACTCGAGCCAAGGTGCGTTTGTTAGTGAATCATTAGCCGCGAAGACCAGATTTATCTTCCGCAGATGGGTTTTCCTTCCTTTTCATCTCGTTTCCCTGTGGCTTAGGCAGTAGGAACAGTTGAACTCCTTGAGAGGGTTTCAGATCCAAAGGTAGTAAGAAAGAAAAGTTGACAGAATCGTCATTTGCTAATTGGAGTAGTAGAGCTATCTCAGTTTGGGATATGAAGCAGTTCAATGCAGCTTTCTCTTTGTTCCTGATGAAGAAATGGTCTGGTGGAGCTGTGATTATTGCTCTAGCTGTCATCTTCATCTGCAGCTATACCCTCATGTCGAATTCAACCCAACCCCCAAAGAGCACCAATCAATCCGTATCTGCCCAGGATTTCTTCAATAATCATCCATCCAATACTTCTCTAGCAAAGGAAACAACCGAGCAGCCACCAAAAAGCAGCAAGGCGGAGTTGAAATTCTTTGAAGGGCTTGCTGATCTCTATGCTCCAAACAATAGTAATGTATCATCGAAAGCAGCATTGCTCGTGTGGGCTCATATGCGTGTGGTTTTGTCCCGGTCCGATGCTTTGCCCGAGACAGCGCAAGGGATCAAAGAGGGTTCCATAGCTTGGAAGGAGATGCTGCCTTTGATTCAGGAGAAGGAAGGAAGATCTGGTAATAAGCTGGTTAAAAGTGATGAGAGATGCCCTTATTCTGTAAGTAGAGTTGATTTGGAAGTACCATACAACGAAACAATTCTAGATATCCCTTGTGGTTTGATTGAGGATTCTTCCATCACGTTAGTTGGCATTCCTGTTGGTGGGCACAATCAAAGTTTCCGAATTGAGCTCTTCGGATCACAACTTCAAGGGGAAGAGCTACAGCCTCCTCCAGTCGTCTTGCTGTATAAAGTGAAGATACCTGGAGATAATATGTCGGAGGAACCATTCATTGTTCAGAATTCTTGGACTAGAGATGGAGGTTGGGACAATGAGGAAAGATGTCCCTCTCATAGATCTCCTAATGTTCAGAAAGGTACGCTGCTTAGCTCTTACTTCCTTCCTTCATTATACAACGTGATGAATATTCGTGAACTCGGTAGTCTTAAAACTAAGGGCCTAAAATTTCAGTTGACGGACTTGTCATATGCAACGAACAAGGAGTTAGAAGCACCAAAGAAGAGAACCAGAATGCAACGACAAATGGGTCTAGAGAAAGTGTTCACACCGATGCTAACTTTCCATTCATTGAAGGAAATCTAGTTACTGCTACATTATGGGTAGGTCCAGAGGGATTCCATATGACTGTCAATGGAAGGCATGAAACGTCTTTAGCATATAGAGATGTAAGTGTTGGTTTTTGAGAATCATATTACCAATTAAAACTTTTATAGGGTGGTGAACATTTCAACCATAGATGTGCTGTCCAAATCTGCAGAAACTTGAACCATGGTCAGTCAACAGAGTGAAAGTGTCTGGCAGTTTGAGTATCCTCTCAGTATTGGCCAAAGGGTTACCTGTTCCTGAAGATCATGATTTACTTGCTGACGTTGACCAACTGAAATCTCCACCATTGGCAAAAAAGAGACTGGTGATGCTGGTTGGGATTTTCTCTACAGGGAATAACTTTCAGCGAAGAATGGCACTCAGGAAGTCATGGATGCAATATGAAGCTGTACGTTCTGGCAAGGTGGCTGTCAGATTCTTCATTGGCCTTGTAAGTGTGATGCAATGCTCGTAGGCGTCAAATAAATATGTTCGCTTTTTCTATCTCATGAAGTTCAGACACTTCTTTTCAACTTCTTATGGTTTAATTAGGCTCTTACTTGTATGCAGCACAAGAACACTCAAGTGAACTTCGAGCTGTGGAAAGAAGCCCAAGCATATGGTGATATCCAACTGATGCCTTTTGTTGATTATTACAGCCTCATTAGTTTGAAAACCATTGCCATCTGCATAATGGGGGTACGTCATATGAGCACTAAAAACTAAACTTGGGTGTGGCCGTGTGGGCATGACTCGGTCTGGTCCAGAATCGGGCTGGATGGAAAATGAGGACCAGAACCGGATCAAAAGCTCATTTTATCAACTTTGGTCCAATTTTACTTCAATTAGGTTCATCTTTTTCTTTGTTTTAAGGGGACCTGTCGAATTGGAACCAAAAAGGTGTTGAAGTTGAGATTCGAAACTGCATTGAATACTATGATCTGGTCTGATTTGATTGAAATGTTGATTCACTCTGATTAGGTCCAGTATAGAGTGAATCGTTGCTGGATACTACTAAAAACCTCTCATTTTCTTATCTAGTTTTGATAGGATGTTAGCCTGAGCCATCTCTTGAATCTGCAGACTAAAATACTCCCTGCAAAGTACATCATGAAAACAGACGACGATGCCTTTGTGAGGATCGATGAAGTGCTCAAGAGTCTCAAAGAAAAGCCATCCAAGGGTCTCTATTATGGCCTTATGGCATATGATTCGTCCCCCCACAGAGACAAAGAAAGCAAATGGTACATTAGTGAGCAGGTGGGTAATCACAGTTCCATTGCTGCAGTCTGGCATTTCACTTTCTTCCTCCTGGCAATTAACATAACGGGTTCTTCTGTTTCTGCAGGAATGGCCTCATGCTGCGTATCCTCCATGGGCACACGGTCCAGGCTACATAATCTCCAGGGATATAGCCAAATTCATAGTTCAGGGCCATCAGGAAAGGAATCTCAAGGTTAGATACCATACGAAGCCACAAAACCCTCTTAAGAAGAACTCTTTTGTTGGCTTTGCTGTGTCATCTTGTATTAAGCTCACAAGATGCTTGTTTGTTACTGTGGGGGTTTTTCTGCAAGCTTTTCAAACTTGAGGATGTTGCAATGGGGATATGGATTGAAGAGATGAAGAAGCAGAAGAACAAGGGTGAGGAAGTGCATTACGCGAATGACGATAGGTTCCACAACGCAGGGTGCGAACCGAACTACGTGCTGGCACATTACCAGAGCCCACGGCTGGTTCTATGCCTTTGGGAGAAGTTACAGAAGGAGCATCAGCCCTCCTGCTGCGAGTAGAATATTAACTGTCTGTCTGTAACATCACACAGCCACCGCCTTGTTTTTGCTCCTTGTTGTACAGTAGTACATTACAGAAGCTCAACATTGTTGAATTGATTTGTTGGTTATGAACAGTGTTTGGTTGATTGGTCGGAAACTGTTCTGTCTTTCTTATTTATTTATTTATTTATTTTGAGGAAACGAAACAAGACAAGATGGAATGCATAATTGCATATTCTGGAATTTCAAAGCAAAACCCACGTAGTTTATTTTCGTGGCAGAGAGAAAGGAGAAAAAGTGAAAAACAGATCAAAGCTCAGCTCATCAAGTGAAGTTTAGACATCAATCAGTGTCTCTGTAAGTGTTATCTCTCTGCCTATGTAATCGATCACTCGATTCAATCTAAATCTTTGCATCTAATTCGTGATTGGAACTAATTTCCCCTTTTTCCATCTTATTCAAGGAATGAAATTTGCCAGCGGATCAATCGTGTAATTAGATTGATGGGAATGAATCAAATAATTAATTAATTAATATATAAATAGCGCATGTTTTGCATTAGGGGTTTAGTTAGACACGGGCTGGTATACGATAGGATTCCGTGCGCTCAATTTTAATTACTTGCCCGGGCTAAGATCAGGTGACTAAGGGGGGTCCCCTTAGTCAAGTGACTAAGTGAATCTCAGCTCTTCCACCTCATTAAAATCTAATGGTTCAGATTAATCCATTTTAATGAAGGGTAATATAGTAACTGCAAGCTTTATTAATTATTAATTAACTAAAAATTCAATATTTCTGTTGCGTCTCTTTCCGCGCGTTTCTGTGTCTTATTTGCCGGCGAAGGATCCCACTCCAGCCAAAAAAAATTCCCCCGCCGCGACTCTTCCCCGTCCCTTTCTCGCTCACGCCGGCAGAAACAATTCCCGGCGTCCGTTTCCTTTTCGCCGGCAAGGGGATTTGTTGCCCAGGGGAATTATTCATTATTCATGGGGAATTTTGTTGGCCCAAGGGAGGGAGAGAGATTTTCTGGTCGGAAAATTTTTCCGGCGAACATCGTCGCCGGAGAATAATTTCCCGGCGACAGTTCTAATTTTATGATGTTTGTTGACATATTTTGTAATGTTTGTATGCTTTGTTATTTTGTAATGTTTGTCGTTTCTTTTTGTAATGTTTGTAAACTTTGTGATGTTTGTTGACATATTTTGTAATGTTTGTATGCTTTGTTATTTTGTAATGTTTGTCGTTTTTTTTTGTAATGTTTGTAAACTTTGTTATTTTTGTGCACCATGTTTGTAAACTTTGTTATTTTTGTCAACCATATTTGTAATGTTTTTTATGTCTAAAAAACAACCTGGTTGACTTTTGGATGGACCTCCTCTATATAGGGATGGAGCCTCCAAAGTCAACCCGGGTGTTTTTTCCAGTTCGTATGGATTGTCGGTCTAGTTTGTCATTTTTGTCCACCATGTTCGTACTGTTTGTATGTCTAAAAAACACCCGGGTTGACTTTGGGAAGGAGCCCCTCTATATAGGGATGGAGCCTCCAAAGTCAACCCGGTTGTTTTTTCTTTTTGTATGGTTTGTATTGTTTGTCGGTCTAGTTTGTATTGTTTGTACAGTTCATACGTTTGTAATGTTTGTAAATCTGTTTGTATGTTTTGTCGCTCTAGTTTGTACTGTTCGTATGTTTGTATGGTTTGTACAGATTGTAAATCCGGTTTGTATACTTCGTAATTTTCCATAATACCCAAACTACCCCTGTCATTAATTAAATAGCTCTTCCCACTTTTTAACCATTGGATTGAAGTGTCCAGATCTAAGAGCTGGGAGGGGCTTAGTCAAGTGACTAAGCACCACCCCTTAGTCACCAGATCCGCACTCCTGCGCCCCTGCCTATTTCTTTTTCTCCCGGAAGTTTCTCATCCACCCAATAGATTCGAGATAGAGGCTGGGTAGATAGACCAGTCGAAGCCAATGGTGAGGAGTCAATTAATGCTTTTTCTATCCCAGATTAAATTAGAGAAGCAAGACATTGTTTCAAGGTTGATTGTATTCATATGTTTCAAGGTTGATTGTATTCATATTACAGGTTTATGTTCTTTTTAAAATAAACTGAAATCATTAAAATGAATAAAACTTATAATTACAAAGGTGACCATAAACTAATCATTTTACAACTATTACGTAAGATACAAGCACATTACATAAAGATGACATAACAACTATTTCTTACATAACAATTAAATTATACGTTTGTATAAGACTCGCGTAATCACTTGGCGTTTTACACGTAACATGGTATAATTATCATTACAAAAAAAAACCATTAGCAATGTAAATATTATGTAATGTGATTTTACATAATATTAGAGAAGCAAGACATTGTTTCAAGGTTGATTGTATTCATATGTTTCAAGGTTGATTGTATTCATATTACAGGTTTATGTTCTTTTTAAAATAAACTGAAATCATTAAAATGAATAAAACTTATAATTACAAAGGTGACCATAAACTAATCATTTTACAACTATTACGTAAGATACAAGCACATTACATAAAGATGACATAACAACTATTTCTTACATAACAATTAAATTATACGTTTGTATAAGACTCGCGTAATCACTTGGCGTTTTACACGTAACATGGTATAATTATCATTACAAAAAAAAACCATTAGCAATGTAAATATTATGTAATGTGATTTTACATAGGTTACCATGTTACACAAGATAGAAAGGCACTACATAAAGATTACAAAATGACAGTACTTACTCAACAGTTTAATCAAACATGTTATATAATATTTCCGTAATGAATTATCAATGTGCAATATCAATATTAGTTAAAAAAAGAGTCGTCCATTACGTAATATTTACTTAGTGTCACTAACTTATTACATGCATGTTGCAGAATAACCTTCCCAAGTGCCCTCTCTAGCTTTTGTCACTAACTTATTAGGTGTTGTCTTTTACACAAGTCATCTAATTATCATTTCGACTTTGTTACTCTATTAAATCTTTCTTTTTGTTTTTTTTAGTTTTCAACTATCCTCTTTTAGTTTGGTCTGTTTCAAAAGAAGATTTGTCGCTTATGAATGGCAAGTTTGCTCATACCTGTTGGTATTTTATTATCAAATCCAATTAGGTTGGATATTAAATCCAAACAGATGGTATATGGGTAGAATTTGATAGGTTTGTATCCATATCTATTTGCAAATTACAGTTTGGTACATTAACTTAATAGATCTTTAAAATATTTGATGTAAAATTATATTTTAGTACCTAAAATTGTGTGTTACATTTTGATACCTAAAGTTTTAAAATTTTACAAATAGGTCCAATTTTTGTATGTGTAGTTAAAACACCCTCAGGTGTAAGTATATACATACTCAACCCATACCCGTTTAGATTATGGTGGAAATATCCATTACCCAAACCCATATACAAACCTTCAAACTCATATATATTCCACTCATACCCTACCCATACTCAATGGGTCTACTTGAATTTGAATAAATTACCCATGAGTGGGTAATTGCCATCCTTAATTAAGTGTTTGCATTTTTGGCGAGTTAAATCATTTTATCCGGTTTACTGTAACTCATAAGAAACTCCATGTGAAATGGCAAGTTTCACTGTTTCAAAATATTATCATTCAAACCTCAAAGATTGACCCAATACTAGCAACTAAGCCCGCGCTCCGCTGCGGAGAATGCGTGAGTGACTCCAAATTATTATATGAAAATTATAATGAGATACAGATTTGACAAACATCAACGTAAACATTTTAATTAATATCATAATATTAATAAATAAACACAACAAATAATTAGAATAATTGAGAAGCAACTACATATAAATACATATATGCAAAGTACAAACCATTTTACATTAACATTAGATAGAAACACAATAAATTATTAACAAAACAACGAAAATATTTAAAAAATGCACTCCAATAAATTCGAGAAATAGCACATGAAATAGTGTTCTTTTGTTGTTCATTATCAATCATGAAAAAGTAGCGTACAAAATTGGAACAACTGTAAAGTGAACATATATTTTGCAAAGACAACAACGATGAACAAAAATTAGACTGAAAATCCAATTCATACCAGAAAGCTATTTTATTTTTTGGTCACACTATTTACCCTTAATCGTTGTCCACATACGGAAGGCAGACGGGACAAATGTTTTCAAGATCCCATTTTCTAGCACAAAGCATTCAATTGCATTTACAAATTTTATAGTTTTATTGCGACAACAAAATGATATAAAGATAATTTCTGGAAAACTCCACCTAAAGAAAAAAATAAAAGAAAAAAACACACCAAACCAGAAAAACTATAATAGCTAGTATTTGCAAAACTGAAACGAAAGTTGATCCGGAAAATCGAATGGTTCATGATTTAACGGTTAACCGATATAAAACTGCCGATGAATCGTTTATAAAACCGCTCACACGTAAAATAAAAAGATATATAATAGTTCCAAATTGAAATTCCCATCAAACATAAATAATCAAATTTTATATATTCCATCACCAAAGATAGATAGTGGATATATGCGTACAATTTTTAGCCAGAAGAGAAGCATCGACGTATAGCATATGACCAATAAAGATATATCTCTTTAAGGAAAATGCATAACTAATGGATAGGAGTAAAAATCACCGGATGGTGGAGCAGTCGGATGGAAAGATGATGATGGTTTGTTGGCCATAGGTAAAATAATTTGAAGAATAATAAAGTAGAGAAAGTTACTGCAGCATACTGTACAAAGTGAAGAACGAAATTAGAAAATAAAATAGAAGACCGTTGGACCAACAAGCCGATCCGGTTCTGTGGCTTCCTTGTAAGAACGACAAAAAGAGCTCGGCCAACATAGATCGCTTGAGCATAACTGCACAATAGCCGGACCACTAATGTTAGCGGTTTTCCTAGTTCGGTTCACTGATCCGATCCGATTCCTTATTACAATAGAGATAACAGTCAATCAATGATAAAATGCCGATACACATACTTTTTTTTAGAATGATGATATATACTATAGTAAATTGAGTAAAATATTAAGTTAATAAACTTACATTAATCTTGATTATTTAAACACATTAAAATCCATTTATATAATTGATTGATAAAAAAGTGGCATCGAAGTTCCAACGTAGAAGGGTTTTACTCATT